GAGTTTGAGGTTGCATACTGATTAATTTGGCTAACAGACTCCAGGCCAAAAATGGCTTTTATCAACTATAGCATCTTCATGTCATTGAGAGGCCCAGCAGCTACCTAAGTACATAGCCTCTGCTGCCCCCCTTCTCCCACTTAGGGTACATATGGCTGTCATCCTTGAGAGCCTTGGGTGTCTGTAGGTCACTTTGATACATAAAAGCCATGGCTCCTTTTTCCCTGAAATCTTTTATGCTGTACTAGTCACCCCAGCCTAGACGCAGTCCCACACAACAAGGACAGCACACACATTACTCATCTCTGTTAACTCTTCTGTTTCCAAGGAAACTGCTATGCAGCAACCAAGGTCATTCTCAGACTGGTGTTAACCCTTTACTCACAAATTCCCAAGTTGAAAAGAGCTTGGATTTACTGCAGGATCCTCAGTTCTAACTTCCTACTCTGCACAGGCTAAGGTTTTTCATCTGCTCTGCCTGGGCATTAAAATCACTGTTACCAAGACTGACCACTCTCAACTCCTTTCATCAACAGTAGCCACAATGTCATCCTTTGTTTTTGGTCCTGGTAATTTCTCTTATTTCCTCAAGAGTTCAGTTTAGCTCTGGATTTGAAAGGATATTTGCTCTACCTTACCAATCATTTATACATACCGTCGTGCATCATTTAATGACAGGATCTGTTCTAAGAAATGCATCATTAGGTGATTTCATCATTGTGCAAACACAGAGTGTATTTACACAAACCTAGATGGTATAGCTGACTACTCACCTAGGCTATATGGTAAGGCCTATTGCTCTTAGGTTACAAACCTATACAGCGTGTCACTATACTGAATACTTTAGGCAATTATAACACAATAGTAAGTATTTGTATGGTCCACCTGTATAGGGCACTTACCATGAATGGAGCTTGCAGGACTGGAGGTTGCTCTAGTGAGTCAGTGAGTGAGTGAGTGGTGAGTGAATGTGAAGGCCTAGGACATTACTGTACACTATTGTAGACTTTATAAACATTGTACATTTAGACTACACTAAATTTATTAAAATTTTTTTTCTTCAATAATTACCATAGCTTACTGTAATTTTTTTACTTTATAAACATTTTAAGTTTTTTAACTTTTTGACTCTTTTATAATAACACTTAGCTTAAAACATAAACACATTGTACAGCTGTACAAAAATATTTTCTTTCTCTATATCCTTATTCTATAAGCTTTTTGCTATTAAAATTTTTTTTATTTTTACTTTTTAAACTTTTTTATTAAAAACTAAGACATAAACACACACATTAGCCTAGGCCTATATAAGTTCAGGATCATCAATATCACTGGCTTCCACTTTCACATCTTGTCCCACTGGAAGGTCTTCAGGGGCAATAACACACACGAAGATGTTATCTCCTATGATAACAATGCCTTATTCTGGAATACCTCCTGAAGGATCTGCCAGAGACTGTTTTACAGTTAATTTTTTTAATACAGTTGGAAGCAGTACACCCTAAAATAACAATAAAAATTATAGTAAGTATATAAATGTAGCATAGTTGTTTATTATCATTATCAAGTATTATGTACTGTATATAATTGTCTGTACTGTACATTTATGTAACCAGCGACACCGTTGGTTTGTTTATACCATCATCACAAACACATGAATTATGTGTTGTGCTATGACATTATGATGCCTATGATGTCACTATGTGATAGGAATTTTTCAGCTCTATTTTAATCTTACGGGATCACCGTCATATATAGAGTCTGTTGTTGACCAAAATGTCATTGTGTGGCGCGCGACTGTACTTTTAGCATTTCTAGATGTTTGTAGCAGGAGATTTTCAGATTATCTCATTTAAAACATTACATTAGAAGTCAGTATGTTAGTACTTAAACAGCCTGAACTCGAATTCTGACTCTGCCCTTTTCCAGCAGAATCATCTTTGATGAGGTACTTGGCCTCCCTGAACTTTCTCAAAGCATTATATGGGATCATTAATACTTCCTTCAAGGGGCTCTTGTGAGATTTAGTTGTTTTCGAGGGTATAGTTCAAACACCCTAGTATGGTTTATGAGTTGTTCTGATTAGGCCTCTGCCTAAGTCTTCAACTGCCTCTCTCACCACTTCCCAGACATACTGCAGCATAATAAACTACTTGTAAGTTCCTTAATTGATCTTGTTCTTTCTAGCTTCCAATCCGTTTTACATAGTGTTCCCACTCTCTTCCTTTGTTCACCTTCCCCCTAACTATTCTTATTCTTACTAATCCTTCATGCTTAGCTTAGATATCAATTTCTCCAGGAAGTTGTCCCCACTGATCCCCAAGCCTGGGTTACGTTCATGAGAGTCCTGTGTGTTCTTATAACACCTTGCATTTGCCCGTAATAGCTCTCAGTAGCCTGTTTACCTATCTGAATGTTACTTGAGGGGAAGAATTTTTGGCTGTTTCGTTTACTGCTGTATCCCCAGCTCCTAACAAAGAGGCTGGCACACAGCTCAATACATGGTAGCTATTATTATTATCAGCACCTTCATCTGTCATAATTCTCAAATGTCTGATTGTTGTATAAATAACTCTTAAGTATGCCAAGAAGCTTAGAGTTAAGTTACAAGTCTGACAAGGGCATGCATTGTTTCAAAGCCACACTTTAGGCCTTTGTTTTTCACTTATTCTGTCATTTGCCCTTTTCATGCTAGGAATTAACCCAGGAGTGTGATGAAAAGAAATCCCAGTATGATAGCTGTGCAGCGGGCCTCGAAAGCAATCGGTCCAAATTAGAACAGGTAAGAAGGAAGTTTTTATTTTAACAATTTAGCAGCCTCGGTGTGGTGGCTCATGCCTGTAATCCTAGGACTCTGGGAGACTGGGGCGGGAGGATCACTTGAGGTCAGGAGTTTGAGACCATCCTGATCAAGAGCAAGACCCCATCTCTACAAAAAATAAAAGAATTAGCCAGGCATGGTGGTGCACACCTGTAGTCCCGGCTGCTCAGGAATCTGAGGCAGGAGCATCACTTGAGCCTAAAAGTTTGAAGTTGCAGTGAGCTCTGATGAAGCCACTGTACTCTAGCCAGGGCAAATGAGTGAGGCCCTGCCTCAAAAAAAAAAAAAATTAGCAAAAGCAGCCTATGCATATACGTTTTCACTACACCAGTGTCAAAAGATTCCTAAATCTGTATTATCGTCTCCTGAGCCTGTCTCCTAAGCTCCAGAGATCTTTATTTCTTGAAACTTAATGTATGCACTGAATTTTCCATCTGTATCACTACTGCCAAAGTCCAAGTCCCATCATCTCTTGCCTGGACTTCCATAGTAATCTTCTCCCTGCACTCCTGCTTCTACCCTTGCCCTCCTAAGTTTATTTTCCATAGAGCAGCCAAAAAAACATGTTCAAAATTTAGGCCACCCTCTTCTGTCTTCCCATTGCCCTTAAAATAAAAATCTAATCTCCAACTTATGGTCTAAAGGCCTCACCTGCCTCATTAACTTCATATTCATGTGTTCCACTCCTCATCCATGGAGCTCCAGCCATACTGACCTTCTTTGTGAACTTCAAACAGACCCAGCTTGTTTTTACTTTCAGACGTTTGCACATATTATTCACTCTGCCTGGGACACTCTGCCCCTAACTGTTTGCCTTGCCTCCTCTTTTTCATCATTCAGGACTCAGCCTAAATGTCACCACTTCTTTGAGTTCTTCGCTGATCACCATATCTCATGTTTCCCCACTCTCTTCCCCAACCTGGCCCACCCACTCTGTCTATCACATTCTACTGCTGAATTTTCTTCATTGCACTTAATGCCCATCTAAAATAACATTCATTATGTGTTTATGTTTATTTATGTTTATGTCTGTTTACTTGAATGAGAGCAGAGACCTGTCTGTTCACTGTTATGTCCCCAACACTTAGGACAGTGCTGGACAGTAGGTACTTAATAAATAGAAGACTAAATCTCCAGGTTTTAGGGTAATATGAGTATTCTCTGGGAAAGATTGTAACCTATCTGCCAGAGTAAAACAAGCTTAAAATTGCAGAAGAGGAAATGACTCTGATGTTGTACGTTTAAGGTCATTCTCTCTGCATCTGTCTTAATCTTTTAATAATGTTATTCATTTAAAATTATATATTGTAGGAAGTTAGAGGACTTCGTGAAGAATGTCTTCAAGAAGAAAGTAGATACCATTATACAAATTGCATGATTAAGGTAAGACAAAGTGGATCAAAAATTTTTCTGAGATTTTTCTGTATCAAAGGCTTCCCTAAAACTTAAGTCTTTCCATTCAGAACCTAGAAGTTCAACTTCGTCGTGCTACTGATGAGATGAAGGTATATGTCTCTTCTGATCAGCAAGAAAAAAGAAAGGCAATTAGGCAAGTAATTTCATTGTTTTTATATTGAGTTACTTAATGTTTTTATCTATAGAGGTCTTATAAATAAGATAGAATTATTTAAAGT